AATCGCATTAAAATTAATTAAATCGTCCTTTATTTTCCTGTTCGTTATTCTTCAGTTTTTGTTTGCATTACAGTTAGGTCTAACAAGATCATTAAGCAGTTTAACTAGTAATTTATTATTTATGATTTAGCAATTTCAATTATAGTTTAAATTTTATATACCATTGACTAATACATTCTTCATTTATCTTAAACACATCATTACAGTCAATTAAAAGATACACAAATTAACGAAATAAAAGGAATGGAATGTTTAGAGACGATAAGGAAATATGTATTCAATTTGATGTTCGGTTATATAGATAAATGAATAAATACAGTATGTACAATTTTGACAATTACCATAACACTATTAACACGATATGTGATTTAACCAGCGGTTAAATTGCAAATGGACGAATGAAGGAAAAACAATTATCTTAGGGAAATTTTTAGTTGGGTGTTTGTTTAGTTTAGCTATTCGGGATTAGAAATTTTACAAATATCGCTCTAAGTTCTGCCGATTCAGGCTGGTACGGCTAGATCTTTTTGTTAAGGTCAACCAAATTTTCGTCAAGGTCGCTGAGATATAAATAAGGTTAGGTCACATGATTGTTGGCGAGATAATAGGTTATGTTTAAGAATTTGGGGGAGAGGTTAAGTTTCCACATAAGCAGTGACCTAGGATGCTCAAAATTTGGTTCGTGATGAGAGCTACATTATACCTAGGATTGGCTTTTCTAAAAATTAGTTTTTTTCACTATCCCGGGATTCTTATAACCAGTTGATTTTATTTACTAAGGGCTAAGGCTAGGGTTTGATATATTATTTGCTCTGGGTTATGGTGGGAACTGGTGTTATTTAGTCTAATTTACTGTCCACTAGGATGTCGTTCAGATTTTTTTTTTAGAATATGCAATTATAATTTTCTGTGGGAAGACTTTCGGGTGATTTTCTTGGAAATCAATATAGTGTTTTCTGATGATTTTGAGGGTACTTGCTGCTGTTGCACTAAATGGAACTACAAAAGTGCTATTGCGCTAGCCGTATGAATATTCAAACCTAGGGGGTGGGGGTGGGGGCTGTTGTTTTCAATTTGTCATTCCAGAATTTTTCTCTTGTTAGCATAAACGTTTTAATTTCTTCTGTTGTTTCAAAGTCGCTTTTAGTCTTTGGCGTACTGGTGTGACAATGAGATCAGAAATGTCATGATTTGGTTGGTTGAAGTGAATTGAGACCAGTTTGTCTTTGTTGGTGACTATGTCTGACCGGTGACCGTTGGGTCATGTTGGGTCTCCCCTACTAATTGTTTGTCACTTTGTCTACATGAAATTAGATAAATTATGTTTGAACTACTGCATGAAAGTTGGTCTAATATTGGGAATTGTGTGCCAGATGTTTTGTTATGTGGCATGTGGCATCTACACCAACATGTCCGCTAATGTTAAAGTTTAACATCCGCTCGACACAAACTAGGTCATTTCCGGGCTAATATTTGGTTCAGTTTTATTTCAATAATTGACTTGCGTAGGAGTCTGGCAGTGTTTCAGGCACTGATCGTCGAGATAAATAGACATAATAATAATAATAATAATAATAATAATAATAGTGCACTTGTAACGCGCTAAACTCCATCCATTAAGTATATGCTCATAGCGCTACAAAAAAAATTCTGATGACATGTTGGTTTATGTGCCATAACAGTTTTATGTCTCATAGTATTTTTTAAACAGGTGTGTTTTTAATAAACTCTTGAATTGCAATAAAGTTTGTGCATCTTTAACTTCTGATGGTAGTTTATTCCAAAATGTTGCTGAGTTATACTGGAGAGATTGCTGTCCAAATAATCTTAATTTGACTTTTGGGACACAAACTAAGTTTTGGTTAGCCGATCGTAGTGTTCGACTAGGACGATATTTTGAAACAAGTTCCGATAGAAAACTTGGTGCGGTTTGGTGAAAAAACTGATATGTGAGTGAGAGATTTTAAATTTCACACGGGCCTCCACTGGGAGCCAGAGAAGTTCCCTAAGTACTGGCTTTATATGTGCACACTTTCTCGTTTTCGTCACAATTCTGGCTGCCGTATTCATGGTCCGTTGCAGTCTATTGATTTGTTCTTTGGGCAAATTACCCAACAGACTGTTGGTGAGCAGCATCTCTTGAGATCAGATTTCTTATGGATCCTATGTTACGGAGGTGAAAGTGACAAATGCGATTAATGTTGGTGATATGTTGTTCCATTGATAAATTTGAATCCAGGTGGACCCCGAGATTTTTCACTTTGTTTGAGAAATCGATCTGTGATTCTCCAATACGGATGGATGAATGATGAACATTCGCAATTTTACTATTAGTTCCAACTAGCATGGCTTCCGTTTTTGAGGCGTTGAATTTTAGCAGATGAGTAGTCATCCATTTTTTGACAATGTCTGCACAGTTTTCAATATAAGTTACGGCTATGGCGGAGTTACTGGGTTCAAATTGATGAAGGAGCTGCTTATCATCAGCGTAAAAGTGGTGAGGGAGATCGTTATCAGAGAGATTTTACCTAATTCTCTGGTGTACAGAGTGAACAGCACGGGGCCAAGAACCGATCCTTGTAGAACTGATTTATCAGAGGAAACACAATTAACATGAACATATTGCACACGATCAGTCAGATAAGATGTAAACCATGATGGTGCAATACCTATAATGCCAAAGTCATGTGATATAGACTGTATTAGTTGGCAATGATCGATTGTATCGAACGCAGCCGATAAATCGAGTAGGATGAGTAGACTGACCTCACCATTGTTGGCAGATATCTGAAGTTCGTTACAGACACATAAAAGTGCAGTTTCGGTGCTATGACCAGGCCTATAAGCGGACTGGAATCTATCCAGTAATGAGATGTGTGATGACAGACGGGCTTTTACTGCCTTTTCCAACACTTTTGACAAAAAGGAAAGATTTGAAACGGGTCGATAATTGCAGAATTGGTTGGCATCAAAATTGGCCTTTTTGATAAGGGGCTTCACAACTGCTTCCTTCCAGATTCTAGGAAATGTGCCAGATTCCAAGCTTAGATTTATAATCCGTTTAATAACAGGTACTAGTGTTTCTAAATGTAATAGCAGAATTTTGGTGGGCACAGGGCCCAACGCACATGTTGGCAGGGTGTTTGTTCGTTCTTTTCCCATAAGAGAAAAAACAAAATCAAACAAAAATTTGGGTGAATTTGAGTTTTCTGCTATTTTTGAAATACAATATTCTGATTTAGCTTTACGAATAAGTGATGTGGTATGGGATTTAGCATGGTTAAAAAATTGTCGATGTATTTTTAATTTAGAGTGCCTCCACTGTCGTTCAGCAATGCGTCTCTTATTTTTGGCTTGGTGTACATCCCCGTTACACCAGGGAGAATTCTGTTTACAAGAGACAGTCTTAGTAGTGCTCTGGGCATGTTTATCTAAAAGTTCGGATAGTGTATCATTATAGAGTTCACAAAGAAGATCAAGGTCGTCAGGTGAATCGCTAATGAGACGGGAATTTTTAAGATCTAAATCAAACGAACTGTGATCTATCTGTTTTAATTTACGGCATTTTATTTCTTGTTTTAGTGGTGGCGGAGGTAGAGCATCAATAGAAAAGTTAATGAAGAAATGATCGGACATTTGCCGGTCGAGAACTGTTAAATTACTTATCAATTTTATGTCACTTTTTGTTAATACACTATCTAGGATGTGATCGTTTTTATGAGTTGTGGAATGCACATGTTGGAGCAGGTCGTGAGTCTTGTAAATCGTTTGATCTCAGGCTTTTCTGGGTCATCAAAATGTAGATTAAAATCACCCATAATCAATAAGACCTAACCTGATACCGCCTGACGACAAATCACTATTTTATCCGATCAGAGAGGAAAGTGTCAAACGAACGGAGTGGGTGAATGAATATTTTCGCCATGATATTGTGAGAAATAAACACCCGGAAATGCAGTCTAGCAGTATTTCAGACACTGGTCGTCGAGATAAATACTAGCTTATCCGAACAGTGAAGGGGGGTGTCAAGTGGAGTGTGTGTATTAAAGTGAATGAATATTCTCGCCGCGTTGAACCTATACCCAAACCAAAAACTTGAGGATCGTAAAAAAGGCGCTTCTCGAGTGGTTCACGTGTTATTGTTTATAGTAGGTTTGCAGCAGGATGGGCTTGGTAAGAAATCGATCAGACTCTACAACATACAAGTCAATGACTGAAAGGGAATGTGGGATTTAATCATCGTAGGCTTAAAGTATAACAGCATGAACAAGAGTTTTAGTTAGATTAGAGGAAAGAAATATAACGGATATGAAAGTAGCAGGCTTTACAAATATTGTTCATGAGATTAGACATGGTCATTTTACTATCACAATAAGCGTCGATATTGCAAACAGGGTTAATAGCAGTAATTGTATTGCCATCAATACTAATCGAAGTGGATTCGGTTATGGTATTTAGGTTATGATCAGATCCAAGCAAACTAAATTCAATTTTATAACCATGTAAACGTAGACACTCATTGATACACTGCTCAGTATTATATTTGCTCAAAGCATGCTCATTGATATTCAAAGGATTACTGTAAATTAAAAAATGGGCCCAATGACCGACTCTTGTGGTACTTCATATAAATTATCATTGTAGCCTGACGTCAAATTGCCGATAACAACCCTCTGTTTTCTATCAGTGAGATAGCTGGAGTGTAGAGTCTTTGACACCAAAGTCTGTCTGAAGTCAGACAGGACAGCAGAATCTATGGTGTCAAAGGCTGTAGAAAAATCTAAAAGAACCAAAAGAACTCATTTTCTATTGTATATTGACCTTAAAATATCATCTTGCACTTTGATAAAGACCATCCCAACACCGTGACACTTACGATATACACTCCGAAGACTATCGTGAAGGTTGTGTGTGCGTCAGTATGTTCAATTAATTGTCTGGCTATACATTTTTCAAAATATTTGGAGACTCCAGAATCCACCATGATTTAGAATGAGTAATTTTATATGAAATAATCGGTTTATTCATTTTTAATTTAAACCAATAACATGACTTGTTGGTGGTTACTGCTTGAAGTGATCTTTACTTGGTAATGTTGAACTTGATTCCATTTCAAAATCTACCTTATCATTAGAAGAGGTCGGACGAGAATCAATGGCTTTGTCATTTTGAGCCCGCCTATAAAAGAAATAATAATATTACTTTGAAAAAGGCAAAGGGGTGCGTGAGTTACACCCAGAGACATTCTGTTAGACACTACCAGATCTAGTTTTAATAAATTTACAAATAAAAAGGATTTGTGATCCTGCGTTTCTAAATTCTTTAAAGCGAGAATTTCATATTTTCTAAGAAAGTCAAAACATAATTATTTCTATGTCTTTTGCTCAATAGGTTATCAACTCACTATTATACGATCATAAGTATCATTCTCACACTTAAGTGGTGGTGGGGGGGGGGGGGGGTGGATGGCCGAATGGTTAGGACGCGCGCTTTATCATACGATCTGTCATTAAGTCAACTGGCGGGGTTTCGATTCCCCGGTTGTACGTGACAAGGAGTAGGATCGCCTTCCAACCTCGTGGGTTTTCTCCGGGTCCTCCGGTTTCCTCCCACTGCTAAAGACCCCTACGCGCAAGCGAATTATTGAAATAAAATTGTACCATGTGTTAGTCCCGAAATGACCTAGTTTGTGTCGAGTGGACGTTAAACCCCATTTCTCTCTCTATCTCTCTCTCTATCTCTCTCCCTCTCTCTCTCTCTCTCTCTCTCTCTCTCTCTCTCACACACACACTTAAAAATCATTCACCCCGGAAATAATAACACAATTACCTCCCTTGTTTTTCTATCCCCCTCATCTATTTTAAGGACTTATTTTAATACATTTTAAAAATATAACTTAAAAATATGAAATTATCGCTTTAACTAATTACCTCTTTTTGATGTAGATAAATACTAGTATAAGTATAGCCAATAACACAATACATCCGATTACACTAGCAATAATTGCAACTAAATTTGTATTCTTTTCTTCTGGCTCAACAGGTGTCATCACAGATGGGACTATTAAATAATAAATAAATTAGAAACATACATAAGTTTCATTTAGAGATGTTGATGTTAATACTGCGGTATTGTTGTCATTTGGTATAAACTTACATTTTAATTTCCGAACGTCTAAGACAAAGACGACACTCTTAGAATCCGCTACCATATTTTACCAGAATAAAATTAAACATTACTTATATTATATAGCCGTAAGCACTAACACAGGTTTGTGTTAGCTATGTGGATTCCTAAACTAGGAAGTGATATCGATCCATATTGTATACATTTTAATATATTTTGCTTAATGAATGTGGCAAATCACGATTGATATTTTTCTTCCAACGATTATTATGTCCAGAGGAAGTATTGCCTGTTTGTCATCAATCAAAGCATAAAGGGCGAAGGGACGGAAGACTAATATGTATTTTAACTTACTAGAACATTTTGTAAGGTTCATGGATCCAGTATATTGTGTAGACCAACCATTAGGACATGATTTACAGTTGGTTTGCCCTCGTTCATCCTGGTAATAACCACGTTCACATAATGTACATATCTCAACATTTTGATACGTTCCTTCAGGACAAAGTACTGTAAGAATGATAGATATTTATTGTCAATAGCATACCAATCTGATTAAAACACAGGTCCTATTTCGTTTCGTTTTTTATAGTTCAAAATTTTGTTTTAATTGTCTTCACTAGACTAGGATCTGGAAAAGTTATTATATTACTGGCATTAGTCAATGAAACGGTCTGTTAAGGTGTGCCATGCATGGAACTGTGGATAAACCACTAGGAACGTCAACGCTGATTGATTAATCAATGCCTGACATCATAGGATCAAAAACCGCTGGTACGACCCCTGACACGACTTTCCAGTACAACTAGTCAGATCTTCATTAGGCCATCCAAAGTATAAAAAAACAAAACGAAATATAGATATGTATTTTAATCAGATTGATATCCTACAAAATTATATGTAGAGACATTTTATTTGTACAATAGCGTTTAACTCTTAGTTTCTTGATATACAGCTTTGGATACACCGAATGGTTCATCTTGTAATGGAGTTCTTCGAGCACAAGGCTCCTTCTGCTGATGGCTTATACTGCATCCTGAAGATCTTCACGCATAAATGCCATGCTCCGCATTGGGGTTCTTCATGCACAACGCCCATGCCTTAACTTGGAGTTGTTGTGTGTAAAGCCAATGTTTCTCCTTGGGGTGTTTCGTGTGTAAAGTCCATGCGTCTTAACGCTGAACACCGAGCCCGTGCTTTGCTTTGAAATTATGCATGCATTAGAGACATTGATTCAACGATATGTCTGTGTTTACCACAGGGTTTCTTCTTGCAAAATGCCTATTGGGTCTATTTGCATAAGGTCCATATTGTGCTCTGGATCTGAATGAAAAGAAATTCCTTTGGAACTGTTGTTCTATAAAAAAAAAAGATTGTAAACCGAATATTGTTTTGATGTCAAAACAAAGGTATGGTGTTTTGTCTACTTACCACATATACCACTGGCACCGATGGCACCATCTTGACAAATTGTACTTCCTACGATGTTCACACTTGACGCTTTGTAGTTTTCACCATTTACCTCGAAATTATAATTATCCGTCTCATTTTGTAAAGTCTGGCCTGATATTTCCAACACTTGTACTGCTTCAACTATAGCTTGTAGCTGAGGACTTACTGAAATAAATTCAGATACGTTCAGAAATATTACAAAATATGCAGTTTCGTATAAATTAAAAGTAGTACCAGGTTTTTACAAGAGCCATGCAAAATATGGTCACACAGCAGCTTTGTCTCAACTGCAGCTTACCCGAAAGGAAAACGTGGATGCTGAACAAATTTGATAAGGATCTCGGTTCCTTGAAGAAATCTAACCTCTAGGGTTAATCTTCGCATGACTTGAAAACTGGTTTCGGAAAAGGGGCGGGGGTGGGCTGTGGATAACGCAAGAACAGGAGGCTGTGAATTATGAATATCGATAGGGATCGATGACCTAAATGTTTATGACAAACATCAAAAAGATCCATTAAAAACTATAACCTTTATCGCGTTCACAATGTTTTTGACAAATGAGGAGATACTTGTGTAATGAAAAGTGGCAGACTAATGAAGGGTTCGCCCTCTCATGACCCAAATTTTCAAACCATTCCGAATTTGAAGAAAAAATCAGTTAAAATCTGTAGTATATCGCGTTCACAAGCATTTCGGCAAACGTCGGTGGGGGGCATAACAGTTACTATATAGTTCAAAAGGTTTTCGGAAAAGAGGCATAACTCCGTAATAAAAATGGATAGACGAAAACTGTTCGCGTTCAAAAGCCAATTGTTGATTGACCGGCGGACAAGGTTACGACATAATACGTATAAAAACTAAAAAATCATATTTTTTCAGTTTTTACATATAAAAAAATTCCACTCGTTTAAACTTACCTGTGCCGTTGATCTGATACGCTGGAAGATTCAGGTCACCACCTGGTAAGGTTTTCGTCAATATTACTTCCACTGTCGTAGTCGCTTCACGTCGTCGTCTATTCGTTCTATCACATTCGGAAACCTTGATTTCTGAGTTACAGAGACCATTCCCGGAACATGTGTCTTGGCTAATCTTATTTGATACCATATTCTTGAAATCACCCCTCTTATCACAAGGTACAAAAGGAAATTCTAATGTTGCATTGACCTGCAAGTCATCGGGCGAAAGCACATCTACAAATTAAAGTTAATTCGACTGTGATAAACTGACTCGACAGTTATGGGCTAATTGTGGTATTTAAAGAGAAATGTTATTTAATTTATATGTCAACCGGGACCAGGTATTTTAAGTTTAAAGACGTGTTCGATCATTCCGAATCCTAATCTAAATTGAGTCTAGGTTTATAATTCATTCCTCTTGTTTCCTAAAAATGATTAAATCCGAATCATTGTAGATGAATCTGCGAATACCTTGGACTCAATCTACCGGGAAATCAATTCCGGATTTGTATGTTTGTGAATCGAATCTTTTAGATTCTTTTCAAACACATCAGTGGTGTAACTAGATTGTCTCAAACTTTAAAAACGTGTATACCTGATTGTAGGTGAAAATGAGCTGATAACTATGTTATGGCCCCCGCCATACGATAATGACCGCATATATATCATGTATGAGTCCAGCCACATTTAGTATCCGGTCTTCTAGAATGTGGGAACATAGCTTATGCAGAGTATCAGAACCTTCACCTATATGTTAATACTTACCTATACAAGGTTCTGCTTGTGTTCCTGGAGTCCAAACACCATATGTGCAATTATAAGTTGGCTGATCGCCAATGAAAGCAGTTCCGGGGTCACAGGTTCCTTTACAAACCAACTTAGTTACATCCCCGTTACAGTCAATATTGGTACCATATGCTCTTATCAAATCACTAGACAAACATTCTAAAACATAAATGTATAATCATACAATATATTGTGATACACATATTTTGCTCTTACCAATTACTTCCTGTACGAGTAGTTAGATGATCTATCAATTCCACCCCCAAACTTAATCTTATCTGAAAATATAGTACCGCTAACAGAAATGAAATGGGGGGTTTGACGTCCTACTTTTCGGCACCGACTGGATTATTAAAGACGGGAATGTGTATTTTACATGCACGCCAATGTGTACACGGGTCAAGGGACCTCGGTTTTTCGACCCGTCCGAATGACTAGACGATGTTCCTTGTACCAATCACAAGGGGAACCACGAGGGAAAATCTGGATGAACTTCCTCAGCCAAATCCGCTATGGAACACGAGACCTTAAGGTTATAATATGGCGAGCTGTTGTGAGATGATATTCACCGGTGTATATTGTTATAAACATACATACAGCATACTTACTTGGACATTCGTTGTTATTACATGTTCTGGTGTTGGAAACAATTCCCTTACAGAAATCACCCCCACCTGAAGGAATTGGGTTATCACAAATCCTTGTCCTGGACTGTTGTCCTCCTCCACATGTAGTACTACACTGACTCCAGTCTCCCCACTCCCCCCAATTTCCATGAACTGTGGAAGGAAGATTAATAAATCACAACACTAATCAAAGACAAAGAGTCTATAAAATATCGTAAATATTAAGTGGATTTCCGAAATGGAAACTATCAAAATTATAATACCCTATATTGATTATATAGTGGAATTCCAACTTTATAAAATAATACCCTATTAAGTGATCATTTAGTCGACCTGAGAAATATTAAAATCATAATAATACTAAACTATAGTGATTATCAAGTGAACAAAAGGTTGCGATAATATCGGTCCAATAACTACTTATTATATACATTTTGTTAAGACAAGTGTTTAAAAATCATGCACGTTTCCCAAATAAATACAGAAGGTAAAGTAAATGAATATATGGCAAGGATAGACAATAAATGGGATTACATGTTATAGCGCCAGATATATTATAGCGCTAGGAAACGTTTATGGCTATCTACTGAAACCCTGCGATTCATTTTCGGAGGATATCAACTGACATAGCTGAATGGACACACATTTCTAAACACAATCTCATTGTTTGTACCTGTATATGTCTATATGTATGTATTCTAAAAACAGAATTTAATTCTAAGAATTTTAAAGTACGTGTTCTTAATATGCTATAGACAAAAATGGCATTTGATGTTGGTCATAAACTACTTAATTTGTGTTATCTGTGTGATATTTGGAGTAAATTTTACACTTACCAATGGCGACATCACAAAGTCTTCCTGTGAAATTCTGAGAACAGTTACAGGTGAATATGCCATACTGTAAGTCATTGATACATGTAGCCCCATTCATACAACCATTAGATATACAATAATCAGGTGCAATAGAGCACATTTCACCTGTATATCCCTTAGTACAATGACACTTAAATCCATCAATGTCATTGATACATACATGTTGTCCACAAGGTGATGATAAACATTCATTAACAGCTACAATACATAACAATATGTAAGATATGATAATTACTAAAATTCGTCAATAGTTAAAATACATATTCCTCATCAGATATATTGCATCAAAGTTTAGATCAAATAGCATCCCTCATTCACTAATAACAACTAATATACCCCAAAGCTTAGATTAAGTAAGATTTCTCAATACATATGGTTACAATACATTAAAATTTGGATCAACTAGAATTCCCCAAAAGCTAAACAAAGTGATGCTTTTTCTAACATTTCTCAGTAGCTAAAATACATCGATGTGTGAATTAAACGACCTTTATCTACGCAGATGTTTGATTACTTACCATCACAAGAACTAGGCACAACAATTCTCAGGTTACTAAAATTCTGGTTGTCGGATTTCAGGTCAGACATTGATATAAGCGGTTGTGTAGGGATCGTTAAATCACATGACTTGGACAGATCACGGATCGATTCACCATCCACTAGTCCAGAAGAGCTGAGCTGTATTCTTCTTATAATGATTTCTGGAATTAATTTGGAATAGGTTGATGTTAAACTAGTTTTTCCTAAGATAACTTTATATGTATCGTGGAACGTCCATACTATCTATATAAACGCCAGAGGACTCATTAACAAAAGATGTTTAAGTAGAACGAACAAATGTGGGCATCCCGTGTCTTCCTCTCGTTACGAAGAGTGCATTTTGATCTTCACCATTTTTATTTTGACTTTTTAGTATGGAATCCAACTGATATTTGCTGGCAGGTTTTGCTAAATATTCATAGATTAGATGTTTAGGAATAACAGAACGGGGAGGTTGTTTTACGGCGGATAGTTACATGCTTACAGTATGCTATTTCACTTGTGTGTATCTCAAATTCTCACTTGTCCACCTCAAATAAACCGTAAAGCAAAGACATGGTTAGTTGTTACCCAGACTGTGAAGGAAAGCGTTGAATCTGACGAAATATTTTGGAATAAGAGAGCAGAATTAACATTAGACTGAATGGAGAGTTTAATAGTGGTCTGTGTTAGACTATAGTACACGACTACGGTAGAGTGGTTAACGGCTCAATAATTTGTCCGTAAAAAAAACCTGACACGTTTATCTGACTGCATCATCGAGGAGATTCTCTGGAGTGAGCATAAGTTATTATCACGCACGTGGAGTCGGAGATCGCAGCAAATATACGTCACAAATAGCTTTTAAACAAACACATATTGGTACATAAAGCCGAGTGAAAAATACACCCATTACGCGCTTCGACTTTCGTGGTTATTTTACAGCGAACGTGAACAAAAATTTTGATTGCACTCGTTGATTTATTTTTTGATTTTGGCGATTTTGGTACAGAGCTAGCTGTAATAGCTTCGTTTCTTTTCTAACTTTCAAACTCATGAGCACGACAAGATAAACCTGTTACCTCACTTTGAGATTTACTTTTATTTAGTGGTTACAACCTTTGTTTACGCGCCGCTCTCGTGAGTTTAGGAAATAAATATTTGAGACCGGAAAATAACCGAAACAAAATTTTTATTCGTAGTCTTTATTTTCCAGACACATTTTGGTAACTTGGTGTAAATTATTTCAAGAGTATCTTATTTAATTATTTTGTGGCGGATAAAAGCGCTCTGGAATTGAAAAAAAATTAAGAACTGTATTTTAAAACGTTCTTGGCCCAAACGTTTAAAACCGCTACATCATTTTCGCTAATCTAATCAGAGTGTTTTCGATTGGTTCAAATCATTTGTAAGACCTTTACTCAGGGTGGAGACGAAAAGTCGGGTTGTTATTTCCCTTTCCCTTCCCTTTAAATTCATTAGGGATTTCAAAATTAGCGCTAACGCCATTTTGTGGCAACCGTTTTAATATCATTTTCCACAATGCCGCAATTGTAAAATATATGGCTAACCATATTAAAACCTTTCTTGATGATTTTGAAGCAGAAAATCGATTGGCCCAAAGTATTTCATTAGATATTAAATTTCCTCTATTCCTTATAGAATGTCGAGCTTTGGGTTTGATAAATAAACTATTAACTGCTCATTTTTCATAACAAATATCATATATATTTATTTATCTATGAGACTAACACTGAAGTGTTAAATTATTAGATTTATAGACTCCCTAACGCCCCCCCCCCCTCTCTCTCTCTGTATAAAATGATGTCTGTGGATATACAGAAATGAAACCACTATTCATTTTAATATTAGGCTGATCTTTAAACAATTCATGTTCGTCGAGATATTGATATCCAGCTAAACGTGTATTTTAATTGCCACTGTAGCATTATAAGTAGTTAATATTAAGATTTTTGAAGGCGTCGGCATATCGTAAAAAAACGAAGCGTTTGCGCATGCGCACAGAAGCTGAGAATTCAATCGTTTCATAGAGTGTATTCCATTACTTTGCGGCAAGAAAATACACGAAGTTTCCCGACTGTGATGAAGAAATTTTCGTTCCAGGGACGTAGGTCTAACTTTTTGTGTGACCAAGATTTATAACTCTTTTTTTCACAAAGAGTTAACCGCCTTGATAATGTGCTCCGAATATATTTTCAACCAATTTTTAAAACATGTCAAAATGGTTATATCTTCAAAAATCAAACGTGGCCAAACTTCGATTATTGATGAATGAAGTTTTTATGGTAAGTCTTATCATATAATGCTAAAATAAGCCCGAATTATTGTCTATGTGCTGTAAAATTTGTTGAGCTTCGACCACTCTAAGTAGGGTCTAATATCAACAATAAAAGGTTTGGCTCAAAACCGATGGCATGGATATGCACCGAAATTTATTTGAACCCTTGTCCCTTTAAGTAAAACTATGCCAATCCATCTGAAAGATAATATACCGGTACCAAGGATGTCAAATTATTATAGTTTAAAATACCCACCATGCCCGGCTGTCACATCTATCTCCATGGTAGTATTTGTTACTAAAAGACTGGAAGTCACAGAAGATACAGTTTTGCTCTTTACAAGTTTACCACCAATGTAAACGCCAATGTTTCGTGTGGACTGGTTCCAGGTTAAAATACAATGGTTCCACTGTTCGCTTATATTCATCCCGCCTAATTCAAAGGCGCTTTAAATAACAATAATAAAACTAACACATTAGGAATTGATCACTAAAATACACCCACCATCAAGTCACGGTTAACCCTTGTGGGTTCACGTTATGAGAATCACATTGCAGGTATCAGGGGTCCATATGGACCCCAGTTATAATTCAAAGTTTTTACGTACAGATATATTTGAATTAAAAGGCAGCGGTTTAGTTTTTATTTGCCTTCATATTTGACAACTGAAAAACAACTAAATTATTTTACAAAAACATTTTAGTGATATTTGGAAAAGATTTAATAATTCTCACAAAATTGCTACTTTGTGTACTATGTGATAAAGAGGTTAAAATGGCAATCCACGCTTGATACAAAACCATTAAATATCTTGAATTCATCATTTAATTTTTGGTATTTGTAACATGCACCTGCTAAAAGAGAGAATACTCTGGCATACGCAATATGGTATCAGGCAGCAAACACATTAGCAAAATCCCTACGTTGAGTTGTTTAAGTTAGGGGTCCGATTGGACCCCTTGTTATCTTCAAGTGTTGGGCCTGATTTGCATGTAACAGAACTCGGCATGTGGGAAGCAGATGAATACCGAGTTCTTCACTACGTGTAAAAATGTATAGGAGACAAAGTCACTAAATTTCAGAAAGCAGTGCCCAGTAGTTATTACACAACACTATAAAACATGTGCATGGGGTCCACGGAGACCCCACGTGCACCGACAAGGGTTAAGGACACGAATCCTCTTTGATTTTAATCACAAAGTGTTGATATAATGGTATTGTTCGATTAGTTACATGATGTTCACAGATTTGTTTCGGTAGAATTATCGGATATGTGTTAAACATACATTATCCCAGAGCCAAATCGGCCTATTGCAGGTCTTTATTTAGGCCTGGGATGTTATCTAAATTATTAATTAGACATTAATTAACTTATCCGGGCCATAATCAACTCTAGATGCCATTGCTTGCCTGTGATATTTACTGGATTTGAATACATTTTGTGATGGATGATTTAATGTCAAAATGGATAATCGAAACTTTGTTTTTTTAGCGTACCGACTTCAGTGATGATGATCGGATGGTTGAGATAGTCAGTGGACTGGACAATATCTGCCCTCTTTAAACGTTAAATTGAAAAATTGAGACGTCGTTAATTATGGTAACAATGATATTTGACAATCGAGACTATTTAAGTTATTTCTTGACAAAACATCTACCAATAATAACTTTGCTATAAATAAAGAAATTGGACTGACATTTTCAATATATTCATTTTTCATAATTAGTTTTAAACTATCATAGCAAGGACGGTCAGTTCGTTATCTGATTCGTACATATTGTATCTGTAAGCGAATCATAACAAAATACCATTCATGAAAAGTGGAATATCTTGTATGAAAAAACAAGGTGGTAGGAATTGCAATTTTGAAAAGGAATATAACAGGGTTGAAAGGAAATAAAATAATTGTTCACAAACCTCGACACAGAGACGTACGCCTCTTGTCCAAAACCAAGCGTGAGGATATTGTTGCCATTACGTTTCAAATTTATTTTAAATGCAGATGCGATCGATCGTGTTATAAACTTGAACCAAACAGTGATCTGAAAATCCTCTGCATTCGAGGATGTATTACTTTGCAATTGTACTGGTCCAGTCAAGACAACATCAAAGGCTGCAAAGAAAAAACACCTTAGAAATACTATAACATATTTACATTCCGGCCTCAGTTCTGGTGTGAATAATGTCATTTCTTGTAGCTACTATGTAATGTCAATAGTAATTCCTACGGGGTAATCAGGGTCTTTTAAATCTGATATATGATTAGTAAATATAACTAGCATTGCCTATAAACACACCATGAGTCACGGCTTTATTTAACAAACAGCACCATAGCCTTGTGGCTTAGATAGGAGTGGTACTATCACTCCGAATTTCGTTCTCATCCCAGGTGTATTATATTTCGATGTCATCCCAGATGTATTATAGATAAACATTTTGTATTCCGTGAAATTGTTTGTTTTCAAAATAATATTCATGTCATTTGCGTATCTGATGAGTTATGAACTTAACAATGTGAAACCCTAAAAATTAATAAAAGCCGATTACATATTCTAGTGCTACACGTATTGAAGCATTAAAATGATCTCACCTTTACAATCTGTCATGGCTGTTGATCCAGTTCCACTGGTCATCTCGTTGGGGCATTTGTTACATTTAGTATTTCCAACTCTATCCTGATATGTGCCTTGTGGACAGGATCCACATGGTTCCAGACCAGTTGGCGAGCTCGTACCAATAGAGCATTTGCCTAAAAAGTTAAAGAGCTAAAATTACCCGATATCAGGCTTTTTTCTGGCTTCACATTTATTATGTCTAGTCCATAATCAACTCACGATTAGAACACCTTTGCAAATATTTAATACAATTATTTTGACAAAACTTCAAGCACTCAAAACTTCGCTCAGAATAAAGTAATTTGACTGACAGTTTGAATATATTCATTTCTGATTAAGTATTTTTAAATTATTATAGCAAAAACGACCATTCTTTCTTAATCTTACATAATACAGTTTTCTTTAAGTTTGTCCAAATACGTGACCTTCATCGCAAACCCACCAGATCTACATGAAATCCATTAGAATTATAAGAAAGGGCATTTAGGTCTGTATTTGTCTCAAATTAAGTCACATGCTACAATATAGTATGTTTTATTTTCTATATAATCTGAAATTAGGAATTAAGAACATTATTGCTACTTTACTTTCAACACATAACGAGCAGACGTGGCGGACCTTAAACTTTAATTTAATTGTGAAATGTAGGCCATTTAAATTAAAAGAAGAACTATGATTACTATCCGTTTATTCAAAGAAAGGGAGTTTTATTTGTCGTGGTCATATTCCCAAGAGGTTGAACCAGACACCAGGTCTTCCATTGATGATAAATTCTATATTAGTCGTGCTCATATGCCACACATCACGTTCTTCCATATAAGTTTAAATTATATGTTAATTTTGTCAAGAAGTTTCTTTTTGAATATATGTACACTCTCTTACCTAAGCATAAACTAGAATTTCGAGTTCCTTCCTCTACAGTTGATGTGCCATCTGTGCATAATTTACACGACAAAGAAGCCGTTTCATCTTGATAAGATCCTATTGGGCAGTTAGAACAGTCATCAGTCTTTGCATTATACATCATTCCTCGAGGACACCCGCCTTAAATACAAACAAAATGAAACTGTTTTCGAAAAATACCATTGAATGTCATTTGCATTTTTCGGAAAATTGTACACGGCCTAATCCACACTAAAATACATTCAATTTATTATTTAACTTCTAAGAAAGAACAAACAAGGTAAACATCAAGGGTCGATTATCTCTGTGTTGGGTTCAATCGGAATAAAAAAAAATCTCATCAGAAGATCTGAGCAAGATTATAGATGGCATCAGTCGCATGCATAACCTCGGTGGTATTCTACACTAACCCCGGGTTCTAGAAGCTGGTACACGCAAGCGACGTATGGGATTCAACTATACACCACCCTTTTGGACGCTCAAATCGATATAGGGAATTTTACATAAAAAGACGAGTAGAAGATTTTATTTATCACGCAACACTTCCTTACACGCACAAATAAATAAATATAATTCTTCAGTATAGATTTTATTTTATGTAGATAATGAAAGTTATCACACAAGCGACATCTACTGTAGATTGTGTTAATGTGATAAATGTCTTTCTCAGTGTTCTTCACTACTGAAGAGCTAAGACTATTACTTACGACATGCAGCAGTTGCATAATCCGCCTTCTGTCCATCTGGACACACAAAATCATCCAATCCAATTTGCAAGGAGTCAGCTACATACGTCAAACCGGATACGATGTTGTTAAGACCACCAGCTTCTATATAAACTTCTAGCAAATCCGATAAGCCCTCAAGTATAGCGGCGTGAGAAAGAGTAGTATTTGTCCTCGATTCTCCGTTTAATGTAAATGGTATGGTGATTTCAAATTTCACTATAAGTTCTCCAGTATCTCGCTTAACTCTCTCATTCTGTAATTATTTCATTGACATTAACTTTTAAAATAATTATTTGAAAGGGAATTTCTGGCATATACGTTCTAATTTGTTTGTGTTATCCGATTATTTTGCTATTCTATTAAGTCATTAATCCAAAACTCGATACTATTCAATGATTAATATATTTCTGGCGTTTTCAACTTCCAGAAACTGTGTAATCTTTCAAACGAATATAGGTTCAAATTATTATTTGTTTACATTATATAAATTTATTAAAGGCGCATTATGCAAGAGCTAAATTGGTCTTAACAAATATTTCTTTTGACTTCAAATATCATATATATTATCAATTAGGCATTTATTCACATGGTCAGCCCATGATCAAGGCTTTAATCAATCGGATGGTTGTGATGTTAAAAAGATTGAAACACGATCGTCATTTAATAATTTATCTTAAAGATTGATAATTGTTACAGCGGTAGCAATGACAATCGGGACTACGCTATTTTTCAGAAGTTCAAACCTTCGCTCAGAAGGAAGTCATTTGACTGACATTTTCAATATATTTCCTTTCATTATCAATTTTTAAACTATTATAGGGGTAACGTGTAGGTGTTCGGATGGGATAAAAACCCAAGTTCCGTGTAATTATCGGCGTGCACGTTAAAGAACCGTTGATAGTGGGAATTCGAAATACGAATAGGCCGTAGTGCCACTGTCCGAGCTAAATGCAGAAATATAGGACGTTGAACCCCATTTCAGTTCAATTAATGTAAGATATAACCTCCACCATTCCAACTATGGTGGAACACGCGACGTACGGTTTGGGCTCATATAGTGCATAACCGGTATATTTAAGAAATAAGTACGCATCAAATACCAACCTATCTTGAAATCGATTATCATTTAGTGCGTGCTTTCAAAAAACCTGATTCTTGTATCCGCGATCAAATATCCTGAGACCGAATCCAATACGGACACTGATTCAGCTGGATTGGATGATCATGTTTTGAAATTTAAAACTAATAAAAATAATAAAAACGAAACCTACCTCTATCTTTCTTCCATTGCACCAAATTTCCACGTTACCTATAGAACACCCAGCAGTGACACATCTATTAGAGAACGTCGGATCAGCTAACAATACGTTGATAAACTTTGGGCGGATGTCGACGCTTGATGAACATACGCCACTAAACGTTAATTCTACTGGAACTCTGAATTGTGTTGGATGTCGGATAGCTGATGGTAATGAAAGCAAAATTAATAATATCTTCGTTTCAAGCAACTCCAATACTTTTAGTTTGAATACATAAATGTATCAGCTTCCATAATTTGCAATACTAGTATGTATGTACAATCTAAATATAATCATGATATAAAAAAATACAACTTGTAGAAATATTGTCGTTGCGACATTGTTTTCAAATTTATAGACAAGGAATAGAGAAAAATGATGGCATTATATTGTATTAATTAATATCTTTGGAAAATTATTAGATTCACATATATGTACTTAAATCAAGTTAGCGAATGAGTGGCATATTGTTACATAAAAAGAGTTATAATTTGGTAAACATTAGCTGGGTCTGTGGGAATAAGAATATCATGTGTTACAGGTGATAGGAAAATTACGATTGTATCATTTGGCTTGTTTAACCAATCTATATACTTATTTACATCATAATTGACCAATAAGATAATTGAAGGTCCAAAACCCAAAGCTACAAAACTATCATATTTGTGAGCAATCGTCAGACAGCAGACAGATTCTGGAAGGGGAAAGATGTAACAATTTCTATCAGCAGACTCGCCCAGCGAGTCTGGCTGGCTAGTGTTGGAGAATGACTTTAGTATTGTAATCTTTACTATGCTTGTATCTATGTATCCGGCTATGATATATAAAATGTAAAAACGAACTGTTCCGTTGTTATTTTTGGTAAGACAAACATCTTAACTAACTGAGATAGACAAGAAGAAGTAAATACACAACGTGAAGGGGAAGCAAAGATGACAAGTTAAAATACTAGACGATCACAAGGCTACTAAGATATGTAGTAAGAAAAGATGCATGGGTCATACGTAGGATGTGGCGACCGGCTTTGGAATACCCCGCTCTCCACGTCTGACAGAAAGACCATGGTGCTACAAACTTACACTAGACTGCTTAAAATAGTATAACGTGGAACTGAAATGTATATAATGTTTTTAATATATAAACCTTATAAATTATAATACTACTTAAATTCCAAAATAATCATGATAATTTAACATTAGTTACATTATGTTTATATTTACAAATAGGATACACACCTGAACATTCTGGATTCGTGTATGGTGGTACCCATTTTCCGTTTTCACCACAAGTGTATACTTTTGAAAAACTTTCAGTACGTGGGATGTCAAAGTTCTCATTACATAGGATACTACAAAATCTGCCATTGCTGAGGGTATCGCACACCAAGGCACCTTCTAGAGGTGCTTTAATATTATTACATTTCACAACTAAAGTTAAATGAAAAAAGAAAAGTATTGCATTATCATTTATATTAAATCACAATGTATTATATGAAATAAATATACGTTGATATATCAGTGGAAATATTCGGGAAATCACATTGTGAAGATTGAAAAGGAATTGTTTCGGGTTGTTTATATCCAAGAATATATTATTTTAGGTAGGGCACGTAATGCTTCATTTGCGGATGGAATTTGGCGGGCGGCGTCTTGCCTATTCCTTCGCATGGTATTGCGATGGCAAGACGCTAAACACGACCGACCTCATTAAATAAATAAGAATCTATCACAAAATAAACTACTTACAAAGACAGGATGGTTCTTTAGGGCCAACTTGAAGCTGCCAAGATGTCCTAGGTGGAACAGAGTTATCCTTAATGCAGATTATGTTTTCGGCACCCTGTAAGTTATGTCCATCTGATGGACAGCTATTGGTACATCTAGTTCCATGTGGATAGCGACCCGGGCTGCTGTCACATGTTATTTTCAAGTTGTTATCATTGTAGCCAGGAGACCCACATTCTAGTACTTAAAACACAAATATTTCATATATTAGTGATTGCGGACGAATTATCTATTAGTTGACTAGCTGAAGATGAAGGATTAGCAAACAATCAAACAATCAAGCAAACAGATAAGCAGAAAGGGAACCTACAAAAATTGTTTGAAAACCGAAGTAAAATGTGCAGCATCTTAAATTGAACGATAATAACCCAAGTTAGCTCAAAAATGAATTGACAGCTTTATCACCAAGTTGATAAATATAATCCAATTTGAAGATGCTTATGAAGAGTTGAACATTTAAATCAAATGAAACATATGGCGATTCCACAAGCGAGAACACCCTCTTTATCAGAATAGTTAATTGCTCCGTGATACTGACCTTCTGCTCTTATGTATAATGAACAATAAGCTGTATTTCCAGCAGCGTCTTCTGCCTTATATTGTATAGTATAAATACCACGATGAACATCTTCACCCATTGCCGGTCCAGCTTGCTTTCTTACAGTTACCTGGCCTGAATTATCTGTTGCTTTCGGTTCCTCATATGAAAGGGTTGCGGTTAACTGTCCAGGGTTATTATAGATGACCTTGGATCTCAAGGGACAGTCCGTAAACTCTGGATCTTCTATATCTGAAAATATAATAGAGAATGGTGAGAGAGAGAGAGAGATAGAGAGAGAGAGAGAGAGAGAGAGAAATGAGGTTTAACGTCCACTCGACACAAACTAGGTCATTTCGGGAATAACATATGTTTTTTTTAAATTTTATTTACATAATTCGCTTGCGCGTAGGGGTCTTTAGCAGTGGGAGGAAACCGGAGGCCCCGGAGAAAACCCACGAGGTTGGACAGGCGACCCTACTCCTTGCCACGTACAACCGGGGATTCGAAACCACGCCAGTCGACTCAATGACAGACTTTATGATACAGCGCGCGCACGCTAACCATTCAGCCATCCAACCCCCCAATAGAGAATGGTGACTAATAGCATAACTTCAAGGGAGTATTAACAATGCAGATCAAATTGATCAGCAGTAATCGGAAATAGTACCCGGAAGCGTAACATGATCAAACATCGCCAATGCAGACATGAACATCATCAATACTCTCTGGTGAAATATACATTAAATGCTGTTTAACAAAAGTGCCCAATTCGCATACAATCGGAGTCAATCTATCAATTTATGATTGCGATTGTGATCTAAAATGTATCTAGATTTTGACAATTAAGATGCTGGGCTAACACTTGAGACCAATTTTTCTCTTAAATATAGTTCCGAAAGTATGACAATATAAAAAAATCGTAAGTAGATTTTTAATTAAAGATACCCAAAATAATCATTAACAAATTTGAACATCAATTGATAAATTACCTTCACAATAAGGAAGAGGAAGTTGCCAAGTACCCGCTGCCGTGCATCTTGTATACAATTGTTGTATCTTATACCCATCTATACATGACGTTGTGCACACACTTCTATAATTTCTTTGTTGGGTACACGCGTATGGTTTTCCATTTTTAATGGTTGTAAGCCTTGGGCAAGTTTTTGCTGAAACAAATACAAAGGTACAATAAACAATCATTAGATATTTCAATGTCCAAATAGAGTAGTGCAATCGTCAGTCTTGTATTTAGTTTTCCGGGTTAGGGGTGGGGGCCATTATGATATATATATATAGATAGAGAGAGGGGGTGGGGGGATAACGCCACTTAACACAAAAATAAGTCATTTAGGAATTAGCATTTGCTTCAATTTTATTGGAATAATTCACTTGCGCATAGGGGACTTAGTAGGAGGAAACCAGAGTACCAGAGCATGTATTTTGTTATTACTTTTGTATGTGTGGCTCGGGATGCTTGAATACAGTCTTATTGCCGACTCACCTTTACAATATCCAAGAGGTCTGAGATATTTACCATTACTATCGCATGTCACCACACTAAATCCAGCAGTTAGGTCATAACCCCTGTCGCACCTAATACTGCACTGTGAGCCCCAAATAATTTCAGGGGCAGTACACGATACCCTACTATTCGCAGGCGGTAGGTATCTGGGATCAACACACGTTCGAACTAAAAATAAAAATGTAAATAATAGGGATATTTCCAGAAATACAGTACTGATCTTTGAGCGTCACTGTTTTATATAATATGACAAATACGAAAAATTTATAGCACTTTCACGTTTTGTGCATACGTGCAAAAATCTGCTGTGTGCATCGCCTAGTGAACGCTCCCAAATAAATAAAATGTACATAAAATAATCATTTTTTTTTTTAAATTTTTCCCACATAAATGGGATATTTTAATATAGTTATGCCAAAGATGTATTCCATTGGGATGCGGTACATTTTGTCATTTAGGGCAAACTGAAACCAACTTTAACTGAAAGTGTGATATTTCAGATTAACTACAAATGTAGACGGAAAGGTATTATGGAACATGAAAGCCGATAAATACCCTTTCGCTCCTTCTTGGCTTAGCGTTAACTAAGTCCGAAGGTGAAGCCCCGTCGCGACTTCGCCTAGTACCGACGTTTGTCCTGCATTCTTGCCGAACCTCATAGCAAAGTGAAGCTCCGACTGAGCAAGATTAGCACCATTTGTCTGGGCTTCTTGGCTTTACCTTCGCAAATTGCTAACGCAAAGGCAAGAAGGAACGAATGGACATTTGTATATCTTGCAGACTTTCAGTCGATCTCATCATCAAGGGTTTCTGGAAATATGCAAATCTGAATCTTCACCCAAATTTCAAGGTTACATGGCAGTTCATGATAACGAATTTCTTCTTTCGAAAAGAATTATCTGAAACCCAAAGGAACTAATCTTCAGGTATTTTGAATTATGAATAACAATAATTTACCATATATATATATATACAACCTTACCCGTTACTTTAACGGTCCAGAAACAGGAGGCCGAACCACCAGCTGCATCAGTTACTTTGTATACTATGGTATGATATCCTCTTTCAAATATGCTACCAGATTTCTTACCAGAAATCTGTAGTGGACTGAATATAGAAATAAATGCTCATCCAAAACACCCAATTCCTCTAAATGTAATGTCCAAAGTTTTTCATGTCCGATGGTTCATTGGCCCGAAGGTTCAATAGTCGTAATGTCTGTTGATTCGATAGTCCGAGGATGGACCGGCGACTATACTCTCCTTGCCACGAACAAGCTTGGGATCACCTCCCCCCCCACGACCATGAATTAAGGAAATCAATCAGGCCAAAGCCTATAGATTTTCCGAAATTGCGCCCAATCGTCTTACAATTTATTGAGCTTTTTGAGTTTACACGGATTATATAAGATCATCGGAATATCAAATTGAGCAGTTGTCATGCAAGATACGACCACACATTGCAATAGATGAACGGATAACTGGTGGGAAATATAGCTGATCTGGGGGGGGGGGGGGATCTCCGGATAAGAAGGTTTTATGCACACCGTAAACAAACTCATCTAACATCTCTTGATACTTAACGTGTTTCTTCTAGATCGGACAAATTTTGTGGCATCTGAGGGGTCTACAAACTCTATACATATTTCACATTTTGCGTTAGAGGCAGGGGACATATAATTCCGGAACACCAAGATATTTTGATCCTTAACACATGTATCAAGGTTCATTTAAATATAGAGAGTCCGCGATTTTGGTATACGTATTATGCACCCTGCACGTTTCAAGTCAGTAGCTTGAAGCGTATATATGGTATTAGTGTCAGTGGCTTGTGGCACGAAGTAACAGTATATTGTCGCATACATAATATATTATGTCAACGCTTGGGCGACATAATATATTGTGTTGACGCTCCAAGCGTGTTAGCATATTAGACCTGTAGACTCAGTGGAATGTACGCGTCATCAGAGCGGATCCAGGGGTTGGACCATGGGGACCGGTCCACCCCCTTAACAATAGAAAGTGTCCCTGTAAATAAAAGAGGGCATCCTTATCAGAAAAAGGGCACCTGTGATGTCAGAATTTCAAAAAAGGGCACTTTTCTTTCGGATTAGGGTTAGGGTTAGGGTTAGGGTTAGGACACAGAAAAGAGAGAAAAAACAGAAAAGAAAAAAACAATCGAAACTTACCGATTCCATGATGGAAAATACCGCCAAAATATGTCTCCAAAGCATTCATTGGTTATCAAAGCGCCAATTAAATCTATCGTTGCAAGTTCATGCCTAGTCACCTCCATCCTAGTTCCAAGCGTTGACATAATATATTATATCGCCCAAGCGTTGACATAATATATTATGTATGCGACAATATACTGTTACTTCGTGCCACAGGCCACTGACACTAATACCATATATACGCTTCAAGCTACTGACTTGAAACGTATCGCCTGTATTATATGCTTTTCCACTATTTGCATAACGGGGAGCGATCATTTTGACGGAAGATTCCGTCCGATTTTCACAGAATTCGAACTCAACGATTTGTAAATTCAAATACAAATTACGATCTCTAGAGTCTTCACAAGATAAAAACGCGATTTGACCTACACTCAAGGGCAACAATGTAGGAAGTTGCTACTATCGACACTAACCAAGATCCGTGAGGTATAAACAATATTTCAAATTGAGACCGATATGTTACAGTCTGATATGTGCCAATATCGAAAGAAGCCGAGATCTTTGCGCTATACACCTAGGCCATATATTAAATTTCATAATGGACAGACTGGACCGACAGTATGATACGACCATGATGAAAATGTGGCGTATAAAAATATAAAATGCTTTATCGTCCAAGTTGTGTAACATTAAATTTGTGTTATATATGTCCCCAGTATAGAATAATATTGAAATTACCTTAGCGCATTGCCATAACCATCGTTGCCGGTAGGTTCGGGCCATCGTACAACAGCTGTTAACTTCTTCTTATTAGCAAAGAATTCATATGAAGGCAGCACTGGACAACGTATTGCGGGTGGAATATATGCTGAAATGTTATGTGATATCATTAAAGGTCCAATTATGGACCGTGTATCGATGGACAGGCAAAGCCCACGAAGCCTTTAGAAGTTTGTGCCGCGGCAAAAAGTAAAACTGACAATCGTGACTAAAATAAAATTACCCCCCCCCCCCTCGCGCATTTATCAGTATTAAGTTTAAAAGCAAAGAAACAGAAATCAATTCATAATATTTTTTATTAATCTTGCTACTTTTTTTTTCAACCCATACATAGATAGACTACTGATGATTGGGGTGTAAATGGATTAAAACATCGTCTTTGTTTACTTCGGAATTTGGACGCGCCCATGTGAATCCAAAAAAAACACTTGTCGAGTTTTTGCTAAAAACAAGCCTACTAAAACACTCATAATTTTCAACTGCTGAATTTGGAAATTTCATAGTTCTAAACTAGAAAAATTCGTCACTACCGGATAGAAATACTTATCGGGTTGAAAAATTGCCGTTTAACTTTTAGAATACCGTAAATTATAAGGAGGAGCTCATCCCGCAATGTCAAAAATCGCGTCGCTTGGTTTACCGTTGACATTGAGATCTCGTCGTGTCTCGCGCGAGCGACAGAGAATCCAACCAAAGGAACTCGTTGTCTGTCCATGTATATGCGGTCCATGATTCCACACGTGTAATACACACGTTCACGCCATGCATACACGATGAAAATTACTCTCACTGACAACAAACAATCTTACGTTCACGTTATATTTTACAAATTTAAAGACGTATATGAACGATATCTTTCTTTATTCAAGATCTCCGAGACCAACATATTGTCCATCCGACGATAAATTTCGATCTTTACTTGGTCCCTGATGTTAGTTGAATTCAAAAGAAGAAAATGTTTACATGCCTTTGTACCAAGTATTTTAAACCTGGTTATTGTCGGCAATAATACGGCCAATAAATATATGTTTTTCCAAATCACTATTCCAATTACACATGAAATAGCACGTTTTTATTTTATCTTATTACGGAAATTGAATTATTTTCGTTATTGTATTGTGTTTTATGTTATTGTAGTGTTTTATTGTTGACGATACCAGGCGTGGAATTAGCCTCTGTAACATCGACCCAAATATTAGGAGAGCTTTATCATGTTTGTAGTATACTGTGGACTGCGAAACGCGCATGTTAGTACAGTTTTCTAATAGCGATTTCTTACTTACGTTTAGGTGCCTTTTTTTTGCAAAATAATTTGCAAATAAAACCCACAGCTGTACCAATTACCACACCAACGGCTCCACCAGCGGGTCCACCTATAGCGAAACCAATACCAGCGCCAATCAGTCCTGCCCCACCTATATACGTCTGATCATCATTCCTCTTTTCTCGATGACTGTTGAAATCTGGAATAAAATATACATGGAGATTGATACGGCAATCAGAACAGCGTCATCTGAATCTCCGATATGTGATGCTGACTTTGCAATCTCATTGTTTCGTACTGCCGGCCTGACTTTGTACACCTTTTCTCTACATAGAACAGTTGTGTTTTCATTGATACCACTTGTAATGCGTTAATAAAATTGAATCAGGTGACATATAAAGTAAGGAATATAAACAGAAAAGAAATACGAACTGAAATAGCTAAATATCACAGTAATAACCGTGTTACTAAAATAGCTCACCTTTACCGATGTTATAACTGTGGAACTAAACTAACTTTACCGGTGTTACAACTGTCGAAATAAAATTGCTTAAAATCTTTACCGTTGTTTAGTGGAACTAAATAACTTACTTTTACTTTTGTCATTCCCGTGGAAGTAAAATAACTTACATTTACTGCTGTTATTACCGTGGAAGTAAAATATTTTACATATACCACTGTTATATCCGTGGAACTAAAATATTTTACATAAACCGCTGTTATATCCGTGGAACTAAAACTGCTAACCGTTCTCTTGGGTATAACCATGAGACTAAAATAACTAACCCTTACCACTGTTACAACGGTAAGACTAAACAATGCTAATCTTTATATCCCTGGGATTGAAATTGATCACCTGTACCGCCTTTATAAACGTAAAACTAAAGCAGCTTACCTTTTCCGCATGTTGTATCATACCATCTGTTTCTATGACAAATCTGACACGTGGCTGAGGTTTTATTATTTCTCAGAGCACATTTGGTACTTGAAGGAAATGAGACCATATCGCCCTCAAGATGAGTTGAGTTTAGTCCGTTAGGTAACTGACACCAATCTACATCAGTAGCTTTCAGTTCACAATTGCCCACCATTTCTTTTTGAAGTTGATACATCTATATGAGATAAAAACCTGTAATTGGCTTTGGTTTGCATGGTGCGCCATTCTGTAGAGCCAAATGCCCACATAAGCAGCAAAGTCGTACTTTATTTAACAATTTATGAAGAGGGGAGACTATGGTTTAAAGTCAGCGCGGCACAAACAAGTTCATTTTGAGGACTAACATTTGGTACAATTTTCTTGCACTCCGAGGTCTTTAGCAGTGGAAGGAAACCGGTAGATCCAGAGAAAACCCATGCGTTAGATCACCAGACAGATCATGCATTGATCAAGAGAAGATATCCCACCCGTCACTCCATAATTATGTACACGAATTGAAATAACAGAGATACACTTACGGCATTTTTAATGATTTCATTACTTTTTAAGCCATAAAGCGGACATGCCAGTAAAAATAACATAAATCCCACTTTGTAGTTGAATCCATTTCTCATTTCTGAAACAAATAATCAATTATATCTTTAAAATTGTTGTTGAGAAATATGAAAATCCCTCTTCTCTTACGATCCTCATTTCATCTTCGTTTCCAATATTAGTCACAAAATGGCCTAGACCAAAGAGTTCAACCATGTCGATATAATATTGCGAGTTGAACGGTGATGGGACGAAAAGATTTAAAGCGGAAGTCCACGTGTTGATACAGTTTTGCTTCAATTCCCACTTAAACCGTCGACTGCTGTTTTATTTTAAAGGAACTAGAACCCTAACTTAATATTATCCATAATATTGCAAGTTAAAAACACGAGTCGTGTATTTTATGACATCCTAAACCATTTGTAATGAAAAAAAATAAAACGTATCCTACAAGACAACGCGGAAGTATTTGGTGACGAATGGCTGATTCACAAATGACAAAATAATAATAAAATGAACGTGTAGGATGGATTAAGCAGTCGTAAACGATTTTCGTTCAATTTGGACTGTTCACGTATTTCACTGAAAATAATTGATACGAAATTACAATTTTTTTTTTTTAAATATAAACCACTTTATGTACATTCAAACTAATTTAATATGTGCTTTTAAAGGGGCTAAATCGCTAACATTCTGGACCTAGAAATTCGCACAAATATGTCGCAACGCATATAATGATCTAATATGAACGTATATCAACTGATTTACATTCAATCGTTTCTGTTTTTACTGTAATTTCTAATCTGTTTTGTTCAGCGAAATACGCCAGAAGTCTCATCCGAATGACAATCTCATGCGTCTGGTTATTCCAGTCTACACGGATGGTATTTATTGCGCATCCTCTCCAGATAAGAATATGACGTCACCGTTTGACATGCCTTGTGGAATATATCTAGCCTCGTTCTTCGAATCGTGTACCAATGGTAAAATGTTTATTTTGTCTTAAATATTGAATACAGAAGCCCATCTTTTCCGGTAAGATCACAACATCAATTTTGATTTAGATTGACAAATAATTCGTGTTTTCAATGTCGAAGATTTTGGATGATTTTGAGTTAGAGACTTAGCTACTTTAAATCCATTTTCGTCTATCTTAAGATTCTAAGAGATGCCCTTGATATCGTGATATCGAGTGTACATTACATGTATACGGGAAAAACACACAACAAAACGCACATTATCCCTTAACAAAGGTAAAAAAACCCTAGTTTTCTCCCCATCCCTTTTCGCCCCAAGTTACTGATGGGGAATTTGAAGAATTCCCTTAAGCGTACAATGTTATATTATTAAGATGGGTAGGCATACTCTGCCGAGCACAAAACACATCTGACTGTTTAAAAAAAGAAATGATATGAAATAAAATGGGGGTTAGATCCCACTTCTCTGCACCGACTGTGCTAATGAATCAAAGCATACGCCATTTCGAAGTCCAACTGTCAAGGGTTCTTAAACGCCTCGTCAATGTGCACACGGGACCTCGACTGTTCGTCACATACGAACGACTATACTTGTCCCTTGTCAGTCCCTCTGTCCGACACCACTGACAAGTGTGAACCACGCCAGAAAATCACGATAGCCTTTCTCGGCCAACACCGGGAGCAAACCCAAGACCCCCTGGTTAGCGTGCCACCGCGGCTCCCTTATTACATGGTAGTAGAAAGCGCAGAATATTCTTTACTAAATCTATATAAAATGAAATACATGTATGTAGCAATTACTTATTTACATTCAATCGTTTCTGTTTTTACTGTAATTTCTTATCTGTTTTGTTCAGCGAAATACGCTCGAAGTCTCATCCGAATGACAATCTCATGCGTCTGGTTATTCCAGTCTACACGGATGGTATTTATTGCGCATCCTCTCCAGATAAGAATATGACGTCACCGTTTGACATGCCTTGTGGAATATATCTAGCCTCGTTCTTCGAATCGTGTACCAATGGTAAAATGTTTATTTTGTCTTAAATATTGAATACAGAAGCCCATCTTTTCCGGTAAGATCACAACATCAATTTTGATTTAGATTGACAAATAATTCGTGTTTTCAATGTCGAAGATTTTGGATGATTTTGAGTTAGAGACTTAGCTACTTTAAATCCATTTTCGTCTATCTTAAGATTCTAAGAGATGCCCTTGATATCGTGATATCGAGTGTACATTACATGTATACGGGAAAAACACACAACAAAACGCACATTATCCCTTAACAAAGGTTAAAAAAACCCCTAGTTTTCTCCCCATCCCTTTTCGCCCCAAGTTACTGATGGGGAATTTGAAGAATTCCCTTAAGCGTACAATGTTATATTATTAAGATGGGTAGGCATACTCTGCCGCGCACAAAACACATCTGACTGTTTAAAAAAAGAAATGATATGAAATAAAATGGGGGTTAGATCCCACTTCTCTGCACCGACTGTGCTAATGAATCAAAGCATACGCCATTTCGAAGTCCAACTGTCAAGGGTTCTTAAACGCCTCGTCAATGTGCACACGGGACCTCGACTGTTCGTCACATACGAACGACTATACTTGTCCCTTGTCAGTCCCTCTGTCCGACACCACTGACAAGTGTGAACCACGCCAGAAAATCACGATAGCCTTTCTCGGCCAACACCGGGAGCAAACCCAAGACCCCCTGGTTAGCGTGCCACCGCGGCTCCCTTATTACATGGTAGTAGAAAGCGCAGAATATTCTTTACTAAATCTATATAAAATGAAATACATGTATGTAGCAATTACTTACTTGCAATACGTTTGCTCGTAGCATCTACTCAGAATTGACTGGCGTGAAAGTCTCTTGTATTTATGTAGACGCGCCTGTCTATCCTGTTCTCGACCTTTATACTTACTATTCAGTTAACTCAGTGATTTATTCAATAAAATACAATAGAAACAGTCACAAAGTTTTCTTACAGTGTCTTGTGCAATTCAAGGATTGGTGGGTGGAGGAAATCTAAGCAGCAGAAGACATCATGATCAGCTTCAAAAAGAACCAAAATTCATGCCTATGAGGCTATGTATGTCACTTAATTGTAAAAACCAAACACCTGTACATACAATTATTTATGAATTACCTATACCATAATCAGTTTACAATTATATTAGTTTACAACACTTTAATTACTAAATTATATCACCAACAATCAAATTATCAACTGATTTACTATCAAATAATCATTTGATATAAAATCAAATTATCACTTGATTTACAATCAAATTATCAATTGATTTACAATCAAATTATCATTTGATTTACAATTATATTATCAATGATCGATTTATAATCAAATTATCAATTATCGATTTACAATTAAATTGTCAATTTGTCTACAATTATATTACCAATGTTCGATTTACAATTAAATTGTCAATTTGTCTACAATTACATGATCAGCTGATCTACAATTAAATTATCAATTTTACAATTATATTATCAATTGGATTACATTAGTAAAGAATTGACAATTTTAAAATCAGGTTGATGTTTTTAATTCTAGAATTTGGAATTCTACAAAATGAATAGTTTGAACTGAATCGAATTTTCAAATGGTATATTAATAATTATTTGTGATTATTAGGAAACTGGGTACAAACACCACTAGCAGCTTATGTATTCGTGTATCACACGATCTTAATAAATCTTGACCGCGTCGTAATGACTATAAATGGATACATCCGTGTGAAATATGGTTAAAACCATGCGTTATTAGATTTGACGCATCGTCCATGGTCTTGGATTAAAAATGGCAAATTTCCAACGTAATCACTATTTATATAAAACCGGTCATTACACACCTGTATCGTGTTAACTGTAACAGTCATAGTTTATAAGGCGGGTAGGATGGCCGAATGGTTAGCGCGTGCGCGCTGTATCATAAGGTCTGTCATTGAGTCAACTGGCGTGGTTTCGATTCCCCGGTTCTACGTGACAAGGACTAGGGTCTCCAGTCAATCCTCATGGGTTTTCCCGGATGTGGACAGTGTGGTTGACAAGGCATGAACTGGATGTGGGCGTGGCCTGCCTCTGTTTTTGTATGCCGTACAATCGTCATGATTGTTCTACAACTTGAAAACAAGTATGGCGATTATTTAGGGTGTTAATTTATTTTATTTGATTATTTCTGTAGTTTTGTTATCGGAGTTCAGCTTTAAGGACTATCTTCGTGGTTGATAAAGTTTTAGTTTTAAATGAACTAGACAGTTTAAGCATGGTGATACCCCTCGGGAGTCAGTACTAGTGTCAATTATTCCGCATTTGTCCTATTTTAAGTTCTTTTGTAATATGTACATGTTCAGAGTGATACAAACCTAGTCTGTTCCTCAACTCCTATTCAGAATGTACCTAGATTATAAATATGTTTTTATAAAGTCTGTAAAGTAAGGTTGAAATTCGAACTTTTCAAAATTCAACAGCTCTGAACATGAAAACTTGATGATAGCATTTCCACAATAATAATGTAAAATGGCCAACGTATAGTTTTGATAACGCGTTTTCTTAAGTACAATAATGTTATAGTTGAATAAATAGTAAAAGTACATTTTGTCGACCTTCATTGAATAATACTAAGCTTATGCTTAGACATTGTTACTGACCGAGTTCGGGAAAATAGATCCCGAGTTGATACATTAAATAGCTGAATACATTGATCGAACCTCACCTATCTAGAAAATCACAATGACGTGAATATACATACAAGGCCAACATATATAAATAACCATTCTCCAGTGAGAATATATATGATACATAAAATTCTTAGATGTTGTTTGGTTTGATCTAGGTCACTATGTGGGGCTTTATGTACCTGTACTATAAGACTTAACGGATTTTGTCTGCCATAAAATAGAAAATGTGACTTTTATATACAATAGCCATGCGTAAATGTTAACAATGCATAAAATAAGACTCCTCAGATGCCGCTGTATGGCCATGGTCTATATCATATCGTAGGCAATATGTACCAACGCATAACCAGTTGTCTTTCATAAAAACCCGTCTTCATTAGCCCAGTTTAGGAGCAGAACAGTAGGACGTTAAACCCCATTTCATTTCTTTCATAAAAATGTATATAAAACATGTAGTCTGTATGTAATAGACTTTATTATTCAGCTCATCATAACCATTTATTTTGTAGAACAATAACTTCAATCGTTAGCATTTCAGTCTGCAATTAATACCATGGGCTTGGCTAAAATAAATATTGCAATAGGATACAAACCAATTTGGAGCGCGGAAGGCGACGTCGATCAGTTAGCTAATGTCTGCCACACTCTACGCCGTCCTGGGCCCTGTTTCTCGAAATTTTAACTAAAGATAAAATCCAATTTTAGTAGATACTTCAGTTTTGATTGGCTAAGCACTAAAATCAATCTAATATTATCCAATCAAATTACTAAAATTTGGATTTTATCTTAGTTAAAATTTCGTGAAACAGGCTCCAGATCATCTTATATTAGGTGCTAGTACACTGCATCTTTACTTTATTAAATCTGGGCTGCGATTTACTCTCTTTCTACCATTTTTTATCCTCTCGTATGCTGGATTCTGCCGTTTACTCACGGTTTGTCTCATTTGTCGACTCCGCGATACTCCGTCAATGGAAGCGGACGGTAAAATCCCTCTGTTATTAGGATTTACCTTGTTGATGTCTGTCTTTTTAAATCCTAATACCAATTTAGGATTGATCTATATTTGCCATTTAGTTGCTGATATTGTGTTATATTCAGAAAACAATTAAATCATACTTATTCCTAGAACACCTGATGCCACTTTATATCGCCCATTCGCCAAGACAATATTATATACATATATAGCATTATCAAGAAATAGACTGACATGGTTTGCTCTAGCACACAAATAGCAATATAAACTTGAATTATCCATCTGAGGTTTGAAATCTTGAGCCTCCGAGGTCGACACCAAAGGCTTTGAACAAGTGGGAGCACCCCTCACACACAAATGATATCTTGCAGAGTAAAAGAGGACACAGTGTGTAGTCACGTTGAAAATGGTAGAATGGGTAAAAGATACGAGAATTAACATTAAAGCTAATGAGGGAATCACTGGGGTCAGATAATAATGTGGACTTTATATGCTCATAATATATGTTCGAATTGCTGGATTTTAATAATTCTTCTGAATTTGTGTGACATCTGGTTAATATAACAAGTAGATAATATACATGTATAAATAAATCCTAAAAATTAATGGAATATTAAAGATCGCGTATGCTTGCGTATCATTTCAAAGCTTGAAAGGGATGTATGGTATAAAGTTTACCGTCTCGTCAACAGACCACTACTAAACCTGCCACATTATGTATCTTCACCATATTTTTGATGTCGTTAAACACGAGTTAGTAGCCTATACAGACGTACTTATTTCTATGTGCGAACTCGTGTACTCTCCCGATCCCTACGTTATTTGTATATAGTATTCCACCATATAGCCACGAAAGTGTGTCATGCCCACTATATAGAATTGGTTTTTGTGTATAAATACATTAAAGAATAATTTATGGGGAATTATGAAGGTACTGTGTAGGCCTACAACATTTAGAACAAAAATCACAATAAATATTGGGTAATCATCGACTAATGAAACTAGTTTCCGTTGTATACTGTGTACATGTTTATTTTATTGCATTAACAGTAAATTAGTATTGCGGAACTCGAGATAACAGGATCTACCTTTCATCGTGTAAAGAGGAATGGGGTGTATTAAACCTACCCTCATAGTAATGCGTATAGTAATTATAATTGGCTGTTATGGAATAGTAGTTATTGTGAGAAACGTCAATGTATAAATCACTATTGATGTCAAAATAGTATAAATATGATATACAGAAATATCTACCGACAATCTTGCAGAACTACAGTAAAGAGAAAATACATATGACCATGGCATCGACATTGCCATATGAATTACAACTTTAATTACCTATTCGTGTGTGATTTGCGTGTTTTTTTTTCAATGGATCTTGCCTTCTTGAAAATATCGTCTCGTCTATAGAAGCTGTTTTACACAAGCAGCAATGCTTGCGATTGTATCCAAAAATAGTAGCTAAATATATCGTTGACTCATTAAATAATAAAATATTGTTTAAATTAAGGGTCAATTTTTACTATCTGATATAAATATATAAACTGGGGGTGAAGCATTTTACCATTTTTTATTACAGTAACGAACTACATTTGAGCTCTGCCCCATATCAAACAACATTCACTGTTACGGTAGTTATAGTACTGTATACGAGAATATACCCCAGTTTCTATTCATACCCTAGTTCGGACCTAGTTCGGATCTCGTTCCTCCCCCCAATTCGTCACACACCTGTCCCTAATTGTCTGTTACGTGTTTATAATGTTAACTTACATTCATTGAAAAGGTCTGAATTATTATCTAAGTAATTTAAGATTACTATTTCGTTTCGTTTTAAAGAACTTTGTAATATAACCAGCTTCATATCAAAAGTGTTATTATATCACTGCTAGTTCGGTTTGTATCGACCAATCATATTCCAAGCATAAATCTAACAGAAACACTCGGACAGGCATGGGTTTTGAAATTCTTATAATTTACTACAACACTGAGGTAACTGCGAAGTCAAGCGTATTTATAGTTCTCTGTATTAAACAACGTCGCTGCAGATGGAACAGCGCTTCGTCCGAAAGAAATCATTTTCTTATGAACTCATTTAAATTTTGGATATGATGTGTTGAATATGCAAATCTATATACTCTTCAAACGAAGTAGAGGATATTCAGAAACAATACAAAGCTGCGGAAATACAGTGCTGTTTTTATTAGAGGTAAGCAGTGTATTTTAATAACAGGCCAATTGCCTA